TATACTCCTTGGAATCAAGCTGCTACTAAAAACAGAAGATATATTAGGTTTATATGAGGTTTTGAGAGCAGCATGCAATTTCCTCACAGCTTGGTTTCATAACTAATGCGAGTATAACATCATACTGACAATATAAATGGCACAAATTAAAAACACTATTAGTTGCAATCAGTGGGGATTTAAGATCTGCAATAGCCAAGGACTTTATTATTCTATTGAATACTGTACCTCAGCTTGCTGCAGCTCCCCTTGAAGCGTAGCTTCCATTTTTTGTTGCAAGTCTTCTAATAATTGCTGTTGTTCCTCCATCAGTTTAGCATGTAAATTTTTGTTCTCATCTTGACACTTAAAAAATTCACCGATGTCATAATTCTGTTCTTGTTCCTGAATCTAAAGAGAAGTAAAATGTGTTACATTATTTATACATATACACAAAAACATTAATATGGTAACCAGATTTCAAGTTTGGAAACTAAATTTGCTTTTTATTATAACCCTGAGATCCAGCAGCTGTAGTAAACATATACTTAAGTATTAAGTAACTCCAGATTCAAGACTATTTTAAGTATCGGAACTAAATTTACAATCCTTTTTTAAAAAATTGAATTTTCTTCATCAGCTTTGTATGCTTTGACTGTTTGGAGTTGGCAATTTTTCCTGCTGATTTTAAATAAATTGGATCAGCAATGCACACTGTTGTACTTCTATTTGAAATCCCCAAGTTATCCAGATACACTTTCACTCTTCTGATAACAGCATAAGTAAGGATTATTAAAGTGTAAATTACTTTTTTTCTCCAAGATTACAACAGTCTGATTTGTATATGATTTGCATAACTACACTAAGATTTAATATTTCTTTGCTATAACTAGATGTTTAGCATCAAGTTATGTCCCATCTGTTAGTAAAACATTCTGCTATAGATTCAAAGTATTCTGAAATCTTACAGCATCTTTATTATAACTTCAACTACTCCTTTTTCTTTAGTTAAAGAGATTAATTTTAAGATGTTTATCTTCATTTCCCTGGTTTTCTGGATTATCCCTGCTAAATCAGTTCATTAACTTCTAAAGCAAATTCCTTTTAAAGGAAATCTTGCTTTTTGATATTTACTGCTTTAAAGTACTCAGTGAATATAATGGTTTGTGTGTAATATAAGCAACTGGACAGACACACTATGGCCAGTATAGTATAGTCTGTAACTATTAAAAGTATATTAATCCAATTTCAGGGCCTTTCCCCTCTAAAATACCTCTAATAAAAATAATTGTTTACAATGTTTAATACTTGCTTATTATATTTATATGCCACCCGTGACTCTGGGCAGTTTACAATTGTTAAAAACATTTGAAAACAAAGAATGCAAAAACAAAAACAGCAGAACACACAAAATTAATTTATTCTTCTATCGGTGCAGGACAGACTGATTGTGCTGGACCAATATGTATGTAACCATCTGGCCAGAGCATATATAAGTAGCATTTAAGGGGTTAAATCCTGTCTCAAGAGATGGCTTCTGGGAAATGTAGTTTAGTTATTACATGGTTATATCTGTGTTCTAATTGGTCAGTTCTATGTCTTAACTAGTCATTGGGACGGACTTCAATGGTTTATGACAGGATTTCCTGGCTATGTGCCAGTATGAAAAGTTTTTGTGTGGCACAGCTACGATGCCTTTGCTCCCTACGAACATGGGGTGAATCTACCTTTAATTTTTTACACAAAATCAAGACAGATTATGATAGGTGTCTCAAAAGAATTCTTCTTAACTGTGAGTTATTGTTTAGAGATTCCTGAAGAATAAATAATCTGAATATTAATCCGTCTTTGGAGTTAATCTGCCTGTGACAAACAGGAATAAAGCAAATCTCTTGTTTGGATCAGAACACTGATGTAGTGCGCCCACACACATTTAAGCGATGAAGAGCTGCCAGCTGCCCCTAATGGGGAAAAGGGAGGTGGGGAAATCGTCCTTTGTGAATGAAAGGCCAGTTGAAGAAACAGAACCTCCTAAGAATGCGGGAATTGCTACTATATTGAGCCAGGGCTTCGGGCAACCCCCTAAAGGGGGAAGAACCATGCGCCGTGCAGACAGGCGTATCTCACACCTGAGGCGGCCAGAAGGATCCTTCTTCATCCGGCACACCACAGACCTCGGACCCTCAGGATGGAGCCTTCCCCCCCCCCCCAGGCAGCTCGGAAAATAAGCGTCTGCGACCACCCGGCCACAGAGCAGCGGAAAGCAACGCACCTCGGGAGGACCGCGGGGGCTGCCAGCAGCCTCTCGAACTCCTGCAGGATCTCCCCCTTCCATGCCCAACGAACGACCTTACTACTATCCGCCAGCAACGGTCGCGCAACCAGCGGAAGCCTTCAACTTTCAGCCAATGGGCTCCTTTGACGTCATCCGGCGCCCCCCCCAGGTGCCCAGCGAAGCCCAAGCCAAGCAGCCTCGGCGCCAAGTATTGGAGCGCCGGGAACCAATAAGGAGTCAGCAGCAAGGCGCGGCGCTCCAAACTGAGGTCGCGGCGGAGCTTCCGGAACGTGTAACCGCCGAATGGGGAGAAGGGGTGTGTGTGTATGTGACACACGTAGAACTTAGGAACTCCGAAGCTTTTTTTCGGTCATCGGGGGGGGGGGTTGGGGGGGGGAGAAGCTTTCTTTTGATTTCCATTTTCAAAATTTCGAAATTGCAACGCGTCTAGAGGCCTCAATACTGTATACAAAAGATGGAGTCTGAACGGCCTCTGAGTTATATACTAAATTCATACGAGCCTTTTTCTGCCGACTGTGCACTCGGAAGTCTTTGGCACGGCCGTTTCTATAGTAGTTTTCTGTTTATATTATTTTTTACCTTTGTAAGCCATCCTAGGAGTTGGAAAGAATCGCATTGCGCTACATTTTTTTCGCTATCACAGCTGCAAGGATTCCCAGTTTACAATGGGCGTATTTCACTTTCCTCCAATATATTAAATGTTAATAATTTTCCTCTCCAAGAATTGAGTTCTAACTCTTTATTTTTCTGTATCACACAAGCGGGCGGCTCCCCAAAGAAAACTCACGACCGTAACTTGATCCAGGAGAACATATTGCGCAGTCTCTGGTTTAGTAGTTCATACTATTAGTACTATTTCAATGGCCCTAATTGTAAATTTTTGATAGCACTTTTTATTGCAAAAATCGGTGAGCAAACTGATTTTATCTGTCAAAACAGAATTTTAAGTAGGATTTTGCTATGAAACCAAGGAGAAATTACAGTACTATATATCATCCCTGGCAGAGTATATCAGTAGTACTGTAGTTAGTGGGGGCAAAGTATCTTCAAATTGTTTTTTGACTCCTGGCCACCCTCCAGACAATTCCTTGTTTTCCTGGGCAAGATGTTCAGAACTGGTTTGCTGTTTCCTTCTTGGCTGAGTTTTGTGCTTAGAACAAGTCTAGAATTCGCAGTCTTACTGGCAATTATGATTTCTACAAGTCAGACTACCAATATGTTTTAAACACTGTTTCATTGAATTGATGAACATAACCTTCAGTTCACCCATATATCTTCTCATTATTTCATATCTTCACATAATCTAACAGGAAGAGTTAATTAACTAGTTTCAGGGCATAACAAAACTCTTTTAGAGTTATTGCAATGTGTTTGAATAAGAAGTCTCTGAAGCCAGAGGACTGTAATAACTAATCCCAAGCATTTTCCAGGCTCTTTTGAATAAAATTCAAGCCCTGTTGTGGAAACTCCACTATCTGAAAACTATGTTATAACTTGTATACGAAGATCCATCACCTAAGAAAACTGTATAAAGGTGAAAAAAAATGGAATAGCACCATTTCTGACTGAGAAATGTTATTAAACATTTGTGAAATCATTCCAGATACGTTTTTAAATGTTGCTGGTGAAAGATTATGAATACAGTACTATATATTTTCCCTGGTTGTGTATATATAGTACTGTATTTAAGTTAGTGGGGGAAATGTACCTTCAAGTCTTTTTTGACTTCTGCCCACCCAAGGAATTAGGCTAGAAACTGGTAGACTGGTGAGCTCTGGTACCACCCTAGGCACAAAGCCAAATGAGTGGCCTTGGGCTAGTCACTCCCTCATAGCCCTAGGAAGAAAGCAATGGCAAATCACTGCTGAAAACACATTAGCAAGAAAACTGCAGGGTTATCCAAGCAGTCACTAGGAGTCAATACTGATTCAAAGGCGCGCACACACACACATATACACAAAAAATGTAATGGATAAATACAATCTCAGATGTGAATGTGCTGACTAGATTTCTAATTAATAATGTAGGAAAGTATTTTTCACATACTCTGTCTTTACAATAAATTTTTAATTAGCTATCCTGGGCTAAAAACAATTACTTTAGGCCATATGAGATAGAATGGTTTTTGAAGCAATAATATTTTAATTATTAATTGGTACATTTTGTTGCTTGGGACTAGTTTATATTTTATCTGTGATTGGCCAGACACTGAAACAAATCTGGAGACCTAAATCATAGTGACCTTGATATATTATTACTTGTTATTGATCAAATCTGCTTTAGGTTAATCTACAGCATATCTGTAGAACCTTCATTCTATTTATCTTTGATTTTTTTAAATCATGCTTTTAATGAACATAAGCTGGTGCTTTATCTTGCCAGATATTGGTCATAGTATGAGATTTCAGGGAATATTTTTAACTATAGTTTGAGAAACACTGGGTTGAAATTTGAATTTATAGAATCACAATGGATAGCCTCATCCATTTTTTTGTTTTTGTTTTTTGTCTTTCTCTGATTATTGTATGAGCCAGGTGAATACTAATCCTTGGAAATACATATTGTTTAAATTATGACCAACAGATGTGAAGCTAACTCATTCCCTAGGCTTAACAGAGTTATTCAGAGAAGAATGTTAGCAACGCACAGGGTTGGGCACATTGAACTTGCACTGGAAGAGTCAGCAACCTTAAAGAAAATATTGCTATTGTTCTAGTGAAACAATATCTTAGCAACCATGTTGAGTATACATTGCAAAAGACATGATACAGTATAAGAAGTTTCTGTTTTCCCTGTAACCACAGCCTGAACCTCTTGCTGAAGAAAAAATACATGGAAACTCATAACAAAGCTGGAGAGAGAGAAAGGTAACCCATATTCAAAATAATGTAGCTTAATACCCACAACTTACCTTGGAATTTTCCCCCAGTGATGGAATCTGATGTGGCTGATCACATGACCCGTCTGAAGCTCAAACTCCTTGAAAAGGTAAGCTGACTTTTCTACAATGATATCCAAGCATTAACTATCCACTAATAGGGCAAAAAAGGATGGAAAAAAACCTATCAATTAAAATGGAGATTTTGCAATACAGATAGCTGTTAGCTGTGTCATACTGAACATGTCAAGAATGCTATGTATGCATAAAAGTGTATCTTTAATCAAGCGTTCCTGATCCTTTGGGCCTTTCCCCAACTTGTCTTGAAGTCCTGCCTGCCTATCAGAAAGCCCTACTGTCATAAACATTACTGTCCTTATTGCAAGCCATATCCTGCTTTTATTGCCTGTGTTCCCTAAACTGCTTTGAAGGCACCAAGTGACAAAATTACACAGATTCTATATACTTGAAAGCTGCTCAAGAAATGTGCTAATATAGTGGAGGAAACCCTGCTTTTACACTGGTGCAGCTAAGGACAATATTATGCTGATTGCTAGCTAGTGTTAAGATGTAAAGCAAGTTCACAAGAAAGAAAATGGATGTCAGAGGACATTGGTGCTATCAGTCCAAGAGAGATGTCTACCTTTATGCTGCACAATAGCAAATTGAGTTCTACGTAATTCAAGGTTTATCTAAAGTTTGATTATTTCCTGCTGATTCCTTTTTATTATTATGAAAAAAACATGTTAAAATTAATGTGAGAAGTTACAGATTTTTTTTTAAAAAAGAATCCTGTTATATTGTTCCGTAGAAATTAGAAAATGAACATGAAAACTTGGATGACTCTGACTCACCCGTCTCTACAAGTAAGCAATTAAAGCATATTTGTACTGGAATTAAGTAAGATGTCAAGAACTCTGCAGAATTAATCCCATCTGGATTTAATATCTGCCTAAAAATCTTTTATCACACAAAGCTTTATGTTATTTTATTTGTGTTTATTTGTATTAATTAGGTTACCTAATTAATTGCTACACATGAGGAGGATGAAAGTTAAAACTATCAGAATGTTAACAAAAGCATTAATCTAGTGTTAGAAGTAAGTCTTCATCCTGGTTCATCCAAGCCGGGAATAAATAAGCAACATGGCGACTGCTTTGGGAAGATGGTTATAGTTTATTGAAGAAGCAGAAAGATGGTTCTTGCAGGAAAGAGCAGAGGAGAGAAGGGCTGAGCACATGGGCAGTAGCTTTTTATACCCTCTCTAGCTTTTTGTTTGAAATAGTTTCCTCTTCCTGTGGCATGAACTTTGAACTGAATCTGAGTGCTTTTCTAGGCCTTAGTATCTGTGGTTCAGTCCTATTATGTTCCAAAAGTCATCTCCTGCTTCCCTGGAGCTGGGCTAATGACTCTTAAGAGTTTCTTTGTCTTCTTGAGTTCCCTGGTTCCAACTTTCCTGATGGTTTTACATCTGCATTTGTATAGAGCTGGCTACTGCTTGGGGCAGAGAGATAGATTTGGGGCCAGGTTTGGTTTCTGCTTTTCAAAAAATGCTTTTGAAAATCCTTTTGGGGAAAAATATATTATCCTGCCCTTTTAATATTTCCTTCTCTGGGCTAACTTCCCTCACTAGGATTGAAAGTCTGTGCATATCTACTTGTAGAGCTGTCCTGTGCCATTAAACTGAAATCTCCATGTAGCAGTACTTACCTCTTTCTTAGTATGTTGATATACTGTATATTGTTTTTATTACTTTTTATTATCTGTTTAATGTGTTTATAATTTATTATTAACTGCTCCGAGACCATCATATCTGGGATAGATTACAAATATTGTTAAATAAATAAATAACAAACGTGGATTGGCTTTGAGTTGAAGAAGCCCTCGCCAAAAAATATGACCCTCCTTTCCCAGTTCTTTCTCTATGGGCTTCAAATGTCAGCTTCAAGATCTTCTTTAAGCAGAGTGATACATTTTTGAATTGTGCAGATTTGCAGTAGCTGCTTTGACTTCTTTTAAGGAGGGTGTTGGGGATGACAGAAGAAAAGAACATCCTGTTTCCAGCAATTTTTACAGTGGCTATAACTTCCTACCATGAAAGGATGGATGCAAGTGACTGGAGATGTTATTATCCCCTCCTGCTACAGTCTGTAGGGCATCACCATATGTGACAGAACCTTTGGAGCTTTCCCAGCAGCCAAGACGAAGCAGCGACAGTTTACAAATGGGAGAATAATCTAAATGGGGTTCTGGGGAGAATTAGAGCCTTTCCGGTCCCTCTGCTCCCATATTAATGTTACCCACATTTTTTTGCAGGAAATTATGACAATTATGGCTACGCCTTACAAAGTGCACTGAGAAGAAGGAAATATCTTCTACAGCAGCTCAGAGTATGATATCCCTAATTCTTATCATTTTCTTTTTTAAAAAATGGAATAAAATATGCTTCCTTTTGCTCATTTTTACTATGTTAATACAATGTTAACATAGAGTAGTTTAGTTCTTTGCCAGCTAATATTTTTAGTTTAGATAAGGTGTAGTGAAAATTTAAGAAAAGTAAAAATTCTAGGGAAAAGCAAAGTAATTTTGAGTAGATACATTTTGGAGGGGAGGTAAGAAAACCCATTTTTTTGCATCATGATTCTTTTTTTGAAAAGGAAAATCTCTTATAGCACTTTTAAAGTTTAATAAAATTGGGAGGTGGAGTTATGCAGTATCTCATCTATTTCCGTCCAATATGTTGAGTACAATTAATGAAAAGTTTAATGTTCATTTTTTTGCTAATGTCTTTAGCAAGAAAAGATTATATACTGGAAATGTCTTCAGCTTCTGTCTTGTTACAGGTTGGTTTTCTTTAAGCAAATATATGAGTTTAGAAAAACTATACTTTGTATTATAGGAACAAAATCTTTTGGAAGAACTTTCAGTACCACAAGGTTTACCCAGAATTCATAAAAAGCCCTTGAAGCCACATCATATCTACCAAATTCCTCTTCCTCCTCCTTCTCCTCCTCCTCTTCCTCTTCCTCCTCCTCCTCCTCCTCCTCCCCCTCCCCCTCTCCCTATACCTCAACAACCAAGAATTATCCAGCAAACAGTACGTGTTTTCTGCTTTATTTCAAGGAGGAATAAAAAAAACCATCAAACTAATTCAAGCAAAACCAACTTCATTATGTGACAAGTCTGGAACATTATTTCATCAGTACATCATGATTTCATAAGATCTCTTGGGATATTATTGGAATAGGGTTGGTTCCAGATTTTATAACTAGCAACTTGATTGCAGATGTTAATGAAAACTGTAAGATATTCACTATCTAATTTCTGCATATTAGGCTATGCAGATTTCTGCATATCAAGTAGGCCAAATTACTTTGTTGTGCCGTGATCAAATGGCAATTCCTGATGAACTAAAACTTAACAAATTACTTTAACTTTAACAAATTAAGTTGAAGATGACACCTCATATTAATTGGTGAATGGTCCAACAGTGTATACATTAAAGCATTTTACCATTGGTACATTCAATTTGAGTAGCATAATTTGAGATCCCAAAACCTTAGATACAACTCTTAGAATTGTATCAATCATGACCATCTGTCATTTTTAATAGAAGAAAACACATAAACATGTATATTGTTATTTTATGTTGTTATGTTATATTACATATTATCAAATCAATTTATATGGCTGCTACAAATGCTACTCTGGACAGCTATCAACATAGAAGACGAAATACAAATAAGTTATATTTAAAACGCTTGTGTTGTATTTCTTCCTCTATTGTTAAATCTAATTTAATTTCCCACTTTGTAATGATTTTCTTCTGTGATGATCTTTTCAATGTTCACGAATCAGCATACAATTCTTCAGAACATACAGCTTTGCTGGCCTCTCTTTTCTTCATTAAACTCTTCTTAGCTTTCACTGTTGGTTTGCTCAGTGAATTCTATGTAAGTATAACATTTTAATTGTTTAATATGTTGTCTATTAACTTAATTCAGCTACCGATATAAGAATGGAGCTACGGTTTATTCTTTAACTATTCTTTTTCCATCTTTTTTCTTTTGCAAGTTACCACAGCAACCAGCAACCATAATTCAACAAATACCTTCATATCAGCCACCACTCATTACACAGATTCCATCTCCACAGTCCTTTTCAGTACCTAGATCTGGGAGTATTAAAGAAGGTATTTGTGCTCAAAAACTATAACTATGTGTACACTATGTAGGAATAACTCTCATTTAATATAGTAGAACTAACTTCAAGTCCTAGGAAATATATCTAAGATTATAGTATGCTGCAGAGCTACAACTCTATGCAAATTGACTCAGAATTAAGTCCATTGGGCAGAACATGGATGGGATTGTTGATATGGCTCCCATCTATGTACCCAAATTCAAGAGTAGGATCAGTTGGATTCAGGGAGACTAACAAGATTTTTTCCTTCAATTGTGTTCGATTCTTGGACACTGTCTGAACAAGCCCCTGCAATTTTCTTGGCAAAGTTTTTCAGAAGTGCTTTGTCCTTGCCTTCTTCCCAGGGCTGAGAGAGAATGACTGGCCCAAGATCACTCAGCTGGCTTTGGGGACTGGAACTCACAGTCTGCCAGTTTCTAACCTGGTGCCTTAACCACTAGACTAAATTGGGTCTCAACTTTTAAATAAAATGCCATAGAGAGTGTCAAATATTCTCTTTTAATTTTCCCACTTATAAGGTTTGGGGATGCAATTTAAAAAGTAAAGATAGCTATGGAAAGATTCTTTTTAGAATTAGTCTGGTAGAATAAGAGGAGCTTACTTTGCCCTTTACTGTAATAACTTCTCTGTGTGTGTGTGTGTTATATACTGGGTAAATTTAATACATGCAACAAACCAAGGACTTGTGGATAAGATAACGGCACCAAGTGACAGGAAATCTAGATCTGCATACAATACAAGTGCTAATCTTAAATTACAATCAGACAATGCAAATAAATAAAGGGACAGAAAAGATTTAGTCACACAACTGACTAGTGTAGCATTGAAAAGAAATAAAACCATTCATGGCACTTTCCCTGACAACTTTATCATACTGGCAAGGGTGTCTGCAGGAAGGATCAACAGCATAAAAATGGCAGGCATAAGCAACAGAAGGCAGAATGGTGCCTTTGAGAATGTATTTATTTCCTGCCTTTATTATTTTTACATACCTCAAGGCATGAACATATTCAACAAACCTTCCTCCTGTTTTCCCCACAATGACAATCCTGTGAGGTGGGCTGGTTTGAGAGAATTACAGGCTACCCAGCTGGCTTTCCTGGCCAAGGCAGGATTTGAACTCACTTGCTCTTGCTTTCTAGCCTAATATCTTAACCACTAGATCAAATTGGCTACCACAATAGCATGCACGGGGCAGTTGTCTTCAGCTTCTGCAATGCCATATTTTCCTGGGATCCCAGTACAGGTCTAGAGAATAGCTGAGAAAATGTGGGCAAAGATGTGGCTGCTTTAAGGAGCTACAAAAGATGATACTTGAGCACTCTACACACTCTAAATACAGAGCGCTACTAAACTAATATTACTCTGATATAATGTAGGCAAGTAGTTAGGAACCTTGATTTTTTTCATTCAATTGAAATACTTATAATGTTCTTTCCTTAGCAAACTTCAGAGTCTTTGAATCATTTATAGACTTTAAACTTAAAGGAATTATTGAACTAATTATTTCCTTCTTTGTTGAGGCACACTGTGTACATATGTAGTACGTCCATTGTGTAACATATTCAAGTTCTTAACATGTGTTATTTTTCCTACTTTTAAAATATAAATTTTGCAGCTCAGCTAACACTAGGCTGGTTGCTTTAAAAAAAGGTATTAATCTAAGAGATTATGCTGTTCAAAAGGCTGTACTTCACCATTTGGATTACATTATGTTCTCCATTATAACCATAGGGTGGGCTTAAATTGTCCTTTATCCTTTATAGATATGGTAGAAATGATGCTAATGCAAAATGCACAGATGCACCAAATCATTATGCAGAACATGATGCTGAAATCTTTACCACTGACATATTCACCAACTAGTGGGTATGGGGTTCCGATGCTTCAACACGGACAACAGGTAACTATGTTTTTAAAGGACTTTCAGTAATAATATTTAGTTGAATCATATCTGTAAATTTATGTGTGCTAATCATTTTAATGGTCAGGGTCATTCAAATTAAGATTCTTAATTATAGTGTACAGGTAATTCTCATTTAAGGACCACAATTAGGACTGGCAGCTCTGTCATTAAGCAGAATAGTGGCTAACTGGCAAATCACACAACCAGGACTACGCTTTTCTTTTCCCCACTCTCCCACCTCTTAAATGCTCAGCCCGACACTGGGATAATTAGCAAGAAGGGAATTCATGTTTTTAGTTACATTCATTGGAGAAGAAGGGATTATAAGTGAGTAAGTAAGAAGGCACATTATGGGGAATTACATCAAAAGGAATGCACTGGCACTAGGAGTCACGAGTGTACTACATAAACCGCCTGCTGTATACCCCATTGTGTGCTGCTTACTTCTTATAATCCCTTCCACTCCATTCTCTCTGCTGTGTGTGGAGGGGAGAGGGGGGATTAGCAATTTTTTTAGGCAATCTCCCCTGTATCTGACCCTTTTTTCCTCCTTTTTTTCCAATTTGAAACCTATGCTTTACAATGCTTAAACATTTCAGTACTGAAGTTACTTCTTTGAACTGCATGCAGACGTATAATAGTTTTGGCAAACTTCAAATATATGTTAGCATTTCCAATCAAAAGAGCTGAAAACATAGAGTGAAATGTTTTGTGCTTTTTGCAACATGAAAGGTTGCCTCTCCCTCAGTGGAATTTGTTATGATGGGAAGTAAGTTTGTCACTGATTCATTAATGTATTTTGTGAGTCTGAAACAAAAGAGAAAAAATGGATTTTAAACCATAAGCTTCAAATCAGTATCGGAATCACTAAATCATTTGACTTGATGTATTTAATATATTATCCTGATCTTTTTAAATTTATCTGCAGCTTACTGCTCCTGTTCCAGTAAGAGTGGAGAAATCACAACCATCAACTGTACATCATCATCATCACTACACATCTTTAGGAGCACCAGTTATTCCTTCTCAAAGTGGCTTCCCCATATGGCCACAACTGGAGGGTTTCCCATCTGAAGTCCATAATCTGCCCATTCCAGTCAATGCATCACCCATGCAAGTCAAGAGTTTGCCACAGTAGGAAAATTGGTTTCAAAATTTTCTAAGACATTTGTTCTATTTGTTCCCTTTTTAGAGTATTCCAGTTCAGGTATATTTCTTTATGTATTATGTATATATAAAGAATCACAGAAAAACAACAATAAGTTGTTGTGAAATATCAAAAGTCACGTTTTCAGGATGAGCAAGTTCTGTTATATTCCTTTGTATCAATCTCATTTCAGTATTCTAAGCAGATGTTAGGCCTTCATAGCCTTTGAAAAGTTTCAATTGCTCAAAGGTGCACTAAAAAGGAAAAATTAGATAAATCACATAAAGTTAGTTCATTCTGTATATATATATATATATTTCTAATTGCACATTTTTCTTCCCCAAGTGTGCCACCCCACAGACTGCTTGGATTACCTTCGGGTTTGTAGATTCCATAACAACAGTCTAGAAAAGGTAATATGAGTGTAGACTTCCTGTATTTATATCAGGGCTATGTCAGCATGCCTGATTAGCCTTTTTCTCCCTGCTAACTCAATAGATTTAAGATTTTTAAATTGTTCCACTAGGCAAACTAACAGCAAATTGCCACGTAACAATGATGTTAGTCAACTTGCCCTATTGGGCTTCTCTCATAATCTTGTTGAGCTTTTCTGCTTTCATAAAGTGAGGGCAGGATAAAGTTGAACTATCTTGGATCTGGGAAAGTCCCCTCTAGATTTATAGAAGTACAAACACCTTGGCTAGACATGATGGGAATTATAGCCCAACACCCCTGGAAGCTTGAGTTTGGACATTTCCAAATCTGTATCGCCTATTGAGGAAGAAAGTCAGCAAGCATCTTTTCCCTATTACTCTGTAGCATAGGAGTTCTGGTTACGTTTTCTTGCATGAAACTTTGTTCAGCTGATCACTTTGTAATACCTAAGATTCTCCTGGAGCGTCTGGGACAGAGAACTCCTGTTTGGGAGAGCTAATCTGCATATTAGATAATGTAAGCTTATAAAGACAAAGCTGTAAGTTCCCATAGATTCTACTACAGAATTTATACTAGACCCCATTTGATGTGTTCGACACCATGTTTGCATAGCAGTATTTGCCGAGTTCAGAATGTGAATGAAAATAGCATCTGGATGGATTGGAGAGCGTATTATGTGTCTTCTCAATGATTCTAGATAAAATAAATTTTCTTTTACCTGGAATGGAGTTGTATTTTTAATAATTTCCTTTTCTCTGGATACATATTTTCTTTCCTGCCAGAATTAGGATGATGATGAATAGCTTATACAGTTTACCATTCTACCTCTGGCCGTACCTATGATTCTTAATTTTAAAATTAGATTAGTATGCTGCCTTTGTAGAATTATTTATTTTATATTTTTATACAGTAATAGAAAAATGTGTGGTTAATAGAAAGCTTCTGATGCAAACATAGTAAATAGTAAAACAATAAAAAGATACATTATGTAATGGATTTCAATTATTAATGAACTTGACACTATAAAGATTTTATTCATGGAACCATATGAGATGCAAGATTTTGGAGCTAGAGAGACGGAAAGAGAGCTTCAGCGGTATATATAAACTCTTTTCAATTTAGTTTTTTAGTTCCTTTCTTTGTACCCCTCCATCATTGTAGAACTACATTGTTACCTTGCTTAAATATTGTATACACACTAACTGATTTCTCTTACAGGTGGCTTGCAAAGGGGCAATGAATACCTGATTAAAAGCATTGGAGCTCTCTCATCTGATACTTCACTGCAGAAAGACAGAAATGATGCACATTTGCTGAGAACACAGGGATTGCAGCGAGCATACAATTTCCACCTGATACAGCAGTCTTATGCATCAATTCTATTTGACCTATACCATGTGATAAATAATGTGCACCATATCCTGTTCATTCATGTCACAGACATAAAAGAGGAGGAAGAATGCCATGGGAAAGAAGGGAAAAGTGCCAGCATCCATGGCCATACTGGAAGCTCATGCCAGTTATGGGCTACATAGCAGTAGTCTTAGGATAATATTTAGGAAGTGATGGAGACACCTTTGTGCATTGTTCAATCCACCTACCAACATTTAACATAGGATGTCAACAACAGAGCCTTTCACTACAAGGCTGTCTACAGGAGTGGTCCAACTAGGAGTTGATGGGAAATCATTGCTCTAATTACCCAACAAAGGGGAAGAAGGGGTAGCATGGAGCACAAGGGCACAAATCTTCTCAAACAATGGAAATAGCTTTTGTCATACAAAGCGAGTGATAAAAGTAAGGAAGCCAGAACTGTTGTAAAGGTGCATTGACTAGGCCTAGGGCATAAGGTTTGGAATCAGGAGCAGCAAAACAAGCTCTATGAGACAGAATAGGAAGAAAATAGTTGTGGTTTAGCTAGCAAGACTGTCATCATATGCAAAAGAGAAGGGGGTCCCAGAAATCAAAACTATTCTGCTGGCTGTTCACAAAGAAATTCTTTTGTTGCAAAATTATATAGAGAAGCTATGAGGCACTCATATGTTTTGTTTTGTGCACGTTAAATATTTCTGAGTTATATGTGCAGATTGTTCAAAGTTTAAAACTGCTAGGGCTTCTCACCAGGAGTGGCTGGGAGACTTCTTTACTACCTGAAAACAATATTGTTCCTTATTGTCAAGCCCAAGGCCCAAAACAACAGAGTGAAATCCAATTGAGTCCAACTTTTTATTTGTTTACATGTAATAGAAAAAATCTTGCCAGACTAAAGCTATAATCTTATCTAATAGATATACCCTGGGAGATTCAAGGTATGATCATCTTGAACCCATCTAGTTCAGGGCTGCACAACCTCTTATTTTGGGCTTCTCTCTGTTATGTACTCCTCCTTGGGAAACGAGTGCACTTGCCAAGACTCGCCCCTTCTTCACCAGGTATGCACATTCCATCACACTTGGTAGATAATTAAGCAAGTGCTGCATGAGCCAATGATAGGTATAAATTTGATGGTCCTCTGATATTTTTGAGTATAATTCTCATCAATTCCATAAGCACGATCACAAGAAACTTCTGGAACATACAGAGATTTATAAAACTCTGCACAACAGCCAGGCTCCTGGACACATGAGTGAACCTTCCCCCCCCCTTACTGTTTTATTAACGGAGGCAAGCATCTCAGCAACTCTTGTCCAACTGTTTTAGGTTATCTGTTTTATATACCATGGCAACAGTATCCATGTCAATAAGACTTAGCTAGAATAAAGAGGCCACCGGTCTTTTAGCTACACACCCTTTGCCCTAAAGGTAGTTTATGCAGGGTTAGGGTTTGGGAGGTTCTGGTTTCTTCATGTTTAAACTGTTTAATGTTTAAATATCAACAATTCTTTCTGAGTCTTTCTTTCCCCCCAAATGGCTTGAAATTGTGTGTTTTTTGTTAATGACCTTTTGCTACCAGAACCAGCAACAAATCAGGCAGTTAAGTGAGATCTGCTCCATCTTCTGACCTTTTTGGCACAGTTGTTAAACAAATTACTGCAGTTATTAAGTGAATCATAGTCATTAAGTGAATCTGGCTCCCCCAATTGACTTTGCTTGTTGGAAGCCAGCTGGGAAGATTACAAATGGTGATCACACGACCACAGGAGAGTGCAACTGTCATAAATACATGCCAGTTGCCAAGCATCCAAATTTTGATCACATGACCATGGGGATGTTACAATGGTCATAAGTGTGAAAACTGATTATAAGTCACTTTTTTCAGTGCCACTGTAACTTTGTATGGTCACTAAATGGTTGTAAGTCAAGGACTACATGTTTGGCCCTCAAGCTGTCACTTATGAGTTCTGCTTTGGAGCAAGAATTTGTTCCTCAGCAATGCCCAACTGTATGTGAGGCTTGCAGTTCTTCAATAATTGTCTCTTGAATGATTTGACAGAATCCATATTAAAGTTTTAGAAAATCAGATATTAGTGATAGCTCATGTTCTGGGATGGGAAGTCAATACTCTCAGGCCAAATGTCTTTTTCCTTTAGGGCTCTCAGATTGTGTCTGCAAAACCTTAGATGACCACTAGGTGGCAGCAGAGGCCTGCATAAAAGTTCAAGTCTGACTTTCTGGCTGGATATTTGCAGTACAGATCTGTTAAATCTATTTTTGTTAAATTCTATTGTTCTTCATTTTGTACTGTAACTGTATGTGAAATGGGAATTGAGATACCTAGTACCCAGCTGTATGCCTTATCATTTGATGATGGTCTCCTTAATTACCTGCAGTGATGTGTATGGGATGGGAGAATAAATTCAGTGTAATTTGCAGGTATCATTTTTTTCCTACCTTGACATTCTGTGCAAAATTCAATGAAACATACAATATTGCACTTATTATAAATTCTGAAATTGAAGACACTGGAATGATAAGGGGCTGGGGTAATGGACCACTAAGAAGATTGGCAGAAGTTTGGTCTATTGGTTAAGGCACAAGGCTAGAAAGTGGCAGACCATGAGTTCAGGCGTAGTGTTATCCATGAAAGCCAGTCCAATTCCCCTCATAGGGCTGTTGTGGGGGGAAATAGGAGGAGAAAGGTGTGTTTGGGTACATTCACCACTTTGAGTTATTTGTAAAAATAATAAAGACAAGATATAAATAAATTTTAAAAAAACAGTAGTGGAAAGAGACTGAGAAGATTGGGTATTGGGCTTCTGGGAAGGTGCTTAAAATATGTATTTGCACTGTGAATTTCTATAATACCCATTTTCACCCTTCCACAAGAGTAAAAACAGAGCAAGAATTTGTAGTTGAACAAATATAACTCAAATTCTGGTGCCTAATTTTCTACCAATGTAACATCTTAAACAGAAAACCTGATTTGCAGAATTACATTGTAAATTGATGTTTTCTATTTTATTTGCATTTGTTCAATCTGGTACATTTTGATTTTTCCTGGGAGTGCAATTCCAGCCATTAAAATAATGGTACAATTGGAAAGACCAAATCATTCAAAAGTATCTATAAATGCATTTTCCTATGCTTGTTTCACCAATTTATATTACTTGTTCTCATGTAAGATTAAAATACCGTGTACTCAGAAGTCAAAACAAATAAACCATATTCCCGATAAGGAAACTCTGAGGTTTAGTATTTCTTTGTTATTGCTGCCCTATTTTACATGCATAGACAAAAAAGAACAAGCAGAATAAAGTGTTTGATTCATTGTTGCTTTTCAAAATTGAGTGTGTGGCCATTTTTTGGGTGGGTGGGGGGAATAAAAGATCAAGAATGCATCTGACACAACTCTTCACTTCTTGTGCTGGCACTGTGATGTTCAGGGAAGTAGATAAGGATTGGTGGAGATCTTGTCTCACAATAACACGACACATTTTGTAATTTTGGCTTGCTGCATACACCACTTTCAGGGGCTGAACATTAAAACACATGAAGTTGCAGAGTCAGCTATTGCATTCAATGGTACAATTGCGTTACAAATTTACAAGTCACAGATTGTTTTACTGTGCTTTGGGCCACATGTTAAACTAACCCCAATTATAGCATACCACAACTTGTGAGGCAGTCCCATGGTCTGGCTGACAACTGGGATGTTTTTGAACTTTTTCTTTTCAAAAGGTTCAGATTAGGAGTACCTACAGAGGAAAAAGAAGGAAAAAAAAACACCCCAGCCAGCTCTGATAATTTAAAAATAAATGGTTTCACAACAGGAGCTGAATGAGAAGCACACCTAGAGTTTCCCTCATCTTTTCTTTTTTTCTACTTTCTTTCTTGACTTAAAACCATTTGTTTAGTGACTATACAAAGTTACAACGGCAATGAAAAAAGTGACATGACCATTTTTCACACTACGGTTGTAGCATCCCCATAGTTACATGAACAAAATTTGGATGCGTGGCAGCTGGCATGTATTTATGATTGTTGCAGTGTCTTGGGGCCATGTGATCACCTCTTGTGATCTTCTGACAAGCAAAGTGATTGGGGAACCCACTTAACAACTGCACTACTAACTTAACAATTGCAGTGATTCATAACAACTGTGGCAAGAAAGACTGTAAAATGGGGCAAAACTCACTTAACTGTCTTGCTTAGCAATAGAAATTTTGAGTTCAATTGTGGTTGTAAGGTGAGGATTACCTGTATAGGCAACAGATACCCAAGTTCAGATTCAAATGTCTTGACTTGGAGGCAGTGGGGAAGGGGTAACCTATCATTCTACTGCTGGAAGTTTTATTACAGAATGAGCAACCGAAGAAGAACTGATGTCAAAATGTCACCTGCTTCAGCAAAATCTGGTTGGTCATAGAACTGGACGGAGCCTCCTCTTTCCCCTCCCTTCCAAAAGATTTTCTGCTGAATGCAAGAAGAGGGTACAGACTCTCTCTGCCTAGTCAAAGGAGAGACATTCAAACCATGGATTCTCCTAATACACAGAGAAAAAAAGTATCTATTGTTGGGGGAGGATTGGTAAGATCTTTTAAAATATTATAAAAATATAAATTTTTTATTATGGTCACTGAGCAGAATTGCAAACCATTTCTTAATCATCGTTGCTAGGTGTTGAATAGTGGCTATTTTTTGTATTTGAATGAAACAGGAAATCTTCTAACAAGGTCTTCTATTTGAAACAGAAAATGTTTAAGCCTTTAAGTGGGCTTTAGTGTGAAATGTAAACATCTGTTTAAGCTGAAAATAGCTGCACATTCTGTGATGATA